AAAAAAAGAATTAACATTAGTTATATATAGGCACTAAAGTCATGGGATGATTATTCTGCCCCACCTTCTAGTATCCTTTTAAAAATTTTTCAAAATGTGCTACATAGAACCTAAATTGTATTTATAATTGGACAAAAAGAACAATACCTCCTATATTCAGAAACCACAATTCCACTGTCCCTTCAAAGTGGGAATCCAGCCAAGGCCTTATTCTTGGACAGCATCATTGAAAGGGCCTTAAGAAAGCTCTTGGGCACAGCAGCAGAGGCATGTCATATATGGGAGCCTTCCATGAACATGACCTCACTGCTGGACCCTATTCAACATAAACTTTGCCTGCAAGAGCTAGCAGAGATGTTTGGACAAAACCTGACAGTGGAAAGCCAAGAAAGAACTGACCTACCTAAGGAGAGAATTCCTCACTTTATGGACTGAAGGAAGTCCTGGGTATCCACCTGGGCTTAGCGGATCTCACTGTGATTGGTTCCTACAGAAGGGTTACTCTTCCCAACCTCACTATTCTCTAAAAAAGATGTCCCATAATGACTCAGGGTTATTTCTGTCCTTTTTCTGGACTTGAATGAGAGCACAGGATGTTACTTATGTTGGACAAATTGTAGTGGCTTATTGGTAAGTGACAGAAGTGGAAACATATCATAGACTGAAGGAAGTAATACTATTCCTAGGAATTCTTCCATTGTCCCCTGTAGTTAGCTTCACCATCCCCGGCAGCTTCTCTCTTTACCTCACTTTGCCTTTAAAAATGTTAATAGCATCATATCAAGCACAATTCCATCATGATGCACCATTCGTGCTGTCTACAGTATTAGTCTTCTTGCCAACATAAACAGTTCTTAGTGCCCTGCTCCTGCATACCACATTTATACACTTGGGTATAGAGCTCCTTTCACCCAGCCTCATGTTCTACACCTTTTCTATGATTTAGGAGTTTTAAATTATTTTTAATTGAATCAATGTAGACTCAGGATAAGATCAGGCAAATATTATAGTTCCCAATCCCAGTGTTGCATTGAAAACACAAGGCCTCTGATTATAACCCTTGAGCCCTCATTTGGCCCAAGAAGTGACCACATAAAGAACAAAATCCTGTGTTCAAATTCTTTTAATTGCACTGAGAGAAAACTGAATTCAAGCTAGCATTCAGGCACAGCTGGATCCAGTGTCTATTGTCATCAAGACTTATTTTGTATTCATCTCTTGGCTTTTACATGTTGAATGTTTGTTCATTTAATTAGGTTACTCTACCTAATAGCTTTGATGGCTACAGGTTTATAGCCTGTTGTTTTGATAAATCCAGCAGAAAAAAAGAGAACCTTTGGGTTACTATCGTTCCAACAAAAGTCCTGGAAATGAGTTGTTGAATAATGGCTTTGGTCATGACTTCATCCTTGGCTTGGTCATATCCTCATCTGAACCACATGCAGTGAGAGAGGGAGGAGCATGCATTCCTAAATAAAGTCTTAGTGACATCAATAGTAGAAGTAGACACTGACTGGGTGGAGGCAAACAGATGTCCATGATGGATGTCTAGAAGAAAACACTAGGGCTTATCATCACCATCACGGGCAATATGCCACAAGGTGAGTGAGTTACTAAAATGTACATAGTGCTGTTGGCTTTAGATAGATAATGGTAGCTGTGTGGGTCATTCATTTGCTTTGAATTTATTGACCACCTACTGTGTAAGAGCACTGTTCAAAGTTTGCAGAAATTAGATGCTAGACTCCCAAGTTCTGAAGAAGTAGAAAGTGGAATAACATAACTTCTCCATAGAGCACGGAGCAATTCTCCATAATTGACCAATTTGCAGGACAATGAGGACCAACTTTTCCCATAAGTGGGGGAACTAAAATGAGGGCGACACGATTGCTTTCATTTCTGTCTACTTACACTCCAATGATATATATTAATACATTGAACAAATATGTACTGTAACCTACTAAACGGCAAGTCCCATAGGACTTGACCTACGTCATCTCGAGATACCTTGTAGAAAGGACCTCAGACACATTCCTGGGATATGTAAAATATTGCACAGAGAAAATAAATTGAACATGTTTCGGGAGGGACTATAGAAATCAAGTAGGCAAGGAAGGGGATTCAGTGATAAAGCAAATAACATAAACCATGATTACTTACATTTCCGTTTTGGATGGGCCAAAGATATATAATGTCATCATTTTTTAAATAAACCCAAACACCAGGCAAGGCAAAGGGCTGTTTTTCTGTGTAAATGATGGCATTTCACTAATGCAATATTAAAAATAATTCTTCTGGAACTCAGATGAATGCAGTAGAGTCCAGCTGAGGCAGCTAGTTGTCTGCTAACTTGGCTTAAGAGATGCATTTTGTTACCTCTTGAGAGCTCAGATGGACTGTGTGAACTTCAAACTATTTTGAGTTTCTCTTTGTTGACACTTTCATAAATATTTAGTGACAGCGAGCTTGGAACTGTAGTCTTTGACAAGTACCAGGGCTACAGCTGCCATTCTTGATTGGTGGCTAAGAACTGAGGCTCTCAACTTTC